ATTTTAAAATGTGTGAACTGAACTTTGAACTAGTTCACGTAGAAAGAGAACTTTCCCAACACTGCTGATCGGGCCAGGGTGTTCCTGACGCTGGTGTGGGCGCCACCCTGACTTTCCCCACTGTCGTGCTGACCAATGAGCACACCATGGCCCTGAGGGTCAGAGGTGTTGGGGGCCTTGCTGGCCAACTGCTTCTGGCTGTATAAATATATAAATTTATATATAAATATATTAATTATAATATAAATATAATACTGTAATAAATACAGTAGTTTTGGGTAATCAAGGGGGACTTCTCACCAACAAAGCCTCCCTTGGCAAAGCAAATTTTTTGAGCATAGCACGGTACTCAGATTTCAGTTCTGCTGCCATAACGCTGAACAGGACAAAAGAAAATAAGAAGAGAAAAAAAGAAATCCTGCTGAGGCTCAAACTTATTTTAGCACCAGTTGTGCAACAGGTATACTAGCTGATACCACTTTTCCTTAACTTCTTTTATCTACTTAAAATATAGCACCAGTTACTTTATCCCATCGCCTGTTAGGTACATGTAAATGTGTAAAAAAAAAAAAAAAAAAGATTCTCTATGTTGGGAAAGTTTTGCTGCTTGACAATATTTAAAATCTCCAATCCACTTTGCAGGACTTTTCAAACAACTAAGTCAACAGACACTTAACCTGGCATACTCACATCATCTTACAGTGCTTATTTGACCATCATGGAGCTCTTTGCTCCCTCTGACCTAACACAGTTCAGAATAACAATCCTGTCAATAATAGTCTGCTGAATGTAAAATCAAAAACCTTCCCTAATTTTGCACTTTTCACTCTTAGAAAGTGCTATATTAGCAGTCTTAGGTTTTTGTCACGGTCTTGATTCTGTTAGGTTTTACTTTGCTTCATGTTTTCTAGTTTAGTTGGTTTGGTTCCTATTTTGTTGTGTTTTCTGGATATTTTTGAGTTCTTAGCTTTTTATTTGTTGCCCTCTGTTGTCCTCCTGTGTTGGTCTCCTTTTCCCTGGCTCCTTTCTTTGCCGCTCTCTTCACACCTGCTACAAATCTGCTCATTAGTTCTCTCTTTGTTCAGTCTACCATAAATACTCTCCTTGTGCAGTTCCTCAGTGCTGGTTCCTCGTCTTACTCTGTCCTACCTCGTCTTACCCTGGCTCCTCATGCTTATTTTCCCCTGATGTCTCCATGGTTCTGGTATGTGTTACATTTTAAGTTGGATTTTTGCCTCAATTGTTTTTGTTTTTTAATTAAACTGCAAGAAATCACCTCAGCCTCTCTGCCTCTGTATTTGGATCCTCTAAACCAGCGGTCCCCAACCTTTTTTGCACCACGGACCGCTATATGTCAGACAATAATTTCACGGACCACCCGGGGGGGGGTGGAACACGATCAAGTAAAATGATACGACTGGCATGAAATCAAATATAAACTGCATAAAAATAAAACAACAAGCCGGTCCCATCTAGGCTTAATCGGAGAAAATGACAGACGAAGTGTGCTCCTGATGTCCAGTCTGCTCTGTAGCTTTGTTTTGGTCGCTGTAACCGCAGAAAATCCCGTTCACAAAGATAGGATGTTATAGATAGGATGCGT